TGCGTTTCAGGTACGTCCATATTACGCATGCAGGTTTGTATTGCATGTCCATATATGCGTGCGTTCTGTAATGTCCATACGCGCGTGCGCATCTGTACGTACGTCCATATACGCGTGCGTCTGTACGTACGTCCATATACGTGCGCGGAGCGCATCTTTGTGCGCGATACGTACGTGCGTTTGTAATGTATTGTCCATACGTGCACGTGCGGTCGTAATGCATGTCCACATACGTGCGTGCATCGGTAATGTATGCGTCCATATGCGCACGTGTGTTCAGGCTGTGGCTGTCCATACGTGCGTGCGCACTCCAGCGCATGTCCATATTACGTGCGTGTGTGTGTTTCAAATGCATGTCCATATGTGCGCGTTGTCTATATATGTGCGTGTGTGCATTTGTATGTATGTCTATATGTGCATGTGCGCATTTGTATGTATGTCTATATATGTGCGTGAGTGCATTTGTATGTATGTCCATATATCTGCATGTGTGCGTTTGTATGCATGTCCATATATGTGCGTGTGTGCATTTGTATGTATGTCTATATATGTGCATTTGTATGTATGTCTATATATGTGCATGTGTGCGTTTGTATGCATGTCTATATATGTGCGTGTGTGTTTGTATGTATGTCTATATATGTGCGTGTGTTTGAATTTGTAATGTATGTCTATATATGTGCGTGCGTGCATATATCTATATATGTGCGTGTGTGTTTGTATGTGTATATATATGTGTGTGTGTGTTTGTATGTATGTCTATATATGTGCGTGTGTTTGTATGTATGTCTATATGTGCGTGTGTGCATTTGTATGTATGTCTATGTAGGTATCGTATGTGCGCACACGTAGTATGCGTCTTTTTATGAGTGTGTGCGTGTGTGTACATCTCTGTCTGTTTTGGTATGTGTGCGCATGTAATATGTGCATTTGTATGTATGTGTGCATATGTTTGTGTGTATATGCGTGTGTGTATATGTAGTAGGTATGTATGTACGTGTATGTATGTGGTGTATGTGTATGTGTGTGTATGTATGCATGTTAGTATTTATGTGTGTTTAGTATGTTTATATGTCTGTATGTTGTATGTATATATGCATACCTGCACTTGTTCAGTTAACTTAAAATGTACATACGTTCGTATGTTTGTAAAATACTGTATGTTTATAATGTTTTATTGGTTTCCAGTAGTCTCTGTCGGGTGGTTATCTGTACTTTCTAAACTTCACCAAAATGTTTGTATTATATGACAATGTACAGAACATGAGACTTAAATAAACATTATCTCTCTCTATAACATGTTACATGTAATCACTTTCAAAACAAAAAGCAATGTGTATTCATAGCTTTCAGCCGTGTGAGCTAAAAGATCCATGCAAATTTCATCCGTCAGAGGGTACATAAAGTATGTGATCTAGACTACCAGCAGTGTGTGTTGATGTTTGTAGAAGCTGTGGTGGCAGGGTGGGTTAGATGGCTTTGACTGGCGATTAGCCGGCGATTTAGAGTGTGGGTTTGAAATCCAGATGGGACTAAAGACCTCAAAAGTATTAGAATCTGTTCTTTACTGAGAAAGTGTAATACCAAATATAATGTAACATTATCAAACGAGCTCTCAATGAAAACATATTTCTTTTCAACAAAGCACAGTGATATGTTACATTTGAATAATACAAACAGCTTCCGCTACCTTTTCCCTAAACATTCTTACTGTGATTGCAGATACATGTATCTTAACAGATTGTTTAGTTAATTCTGTGTGATTGTAGTGAAAATAAAGAATATTATAACATATCTCTTAAGACATTCTCCATGAATGACTGACTGCCCTGAATAGTCCATTATTCTGTGGGTAGGTATTTTTGTACCTTTGTTGTTTCATTACTCATGGTGGGAGTGAACCGTTTTCACTATTTTGTGAAGAGCTAAAGAAGGACATGAAGGCATTGTCACGTATAACTGAAGATGACGTCATCCATTGTTCATGACACCTTAATGTCAGGTCAGCAACACATCAACTGAGCTGGCGTCACATCTGGGGATCAGGAAACCCACAGTTTCTTAGAAAAATGACTGTGGGTTATATAGATGAGAGACTACTAGCAATGAGCTTATAAACTTAATTCACTCATGAACAGAAAACCCCAAATCCACATAACTCTTTGTTTTCATGGTAAACTTTGCAGTTGCAACAAGCAATGCCTGTAGACCATAAGGGTGACAGAGGGTTACGGCACTTTCAAGATTATTGCATTTACTTTGTGATATGTGCCTGTGTTTTTGTTTGCTTGTACTAATCCAAACTATTGCCAGTTTTATATTGCTAGCCCACTGAGATAGCATACTGCCATTTAACTTGGATCCAATACAGACACAGTATAATGGCTCTGAGCAAACTGGTCCTTGTTTCATTCGTTAATGGCCAGGCAGAAAACACAATCGACCTTCCACTCTGCAGGTAGACATACTGCTGTCCACTAGATCACGTAGTCAGTGGTAGAGACATACTGCTGTCCACTAGATCACGCAGTCAGTGGTAGACCATGGAGACTGGAGAATGATGCAGGTTGGTTATCTTCACAAGCTGAGGCCAGTCAGTCTCAGCCATGGGCACAATGGTCAGGCAGCTTCAATTGATGCAAGTTTTATTCCAGTTAGAGTGAGTTTGTGATTATGGTTTTACACTGCAAAAGCAATATCACTGTAGCGGACCCCTGAAAAGGGATTTTAACACAGTGTATAGATTTAGGTAATTGAACAATTGGCATAACAGGCAAACACCAGCAGTTGGTGGAGCAGCACCATCACTGGGGATGGTTATAAACTGGCAGATCAACATCATATTGCACCATGAATTTGTTTTGTGTATTGGCTTGAACTGTACAAATGATTCATAGTTGATGTTGTTGGCTATGAAAAATGTGCAGACATGTCTTTTTATTTGTAAACACCACAGATGCCTATAACTGGCATAGTTCTGACAGGATGTGAACGTACACATAGTGTATCCTGGCACAACAAAGGGATGCCACTCTGTACAGTGACACATGCTCCTTTCGCCACCATCTTGCAAAACATCTGACAACAGCAATACAAGTTATACTATTTCTATAAACATAGGCATCATATCTCAAACAGGTCTGGAGATTCCTTAGTTCCGACAGGTCTTGCGTTCTGGATGCACAGACCTTGCAATTGGGAGACACCCTGAAGTCATGTAGGCCAGGAGTCAAACAGTGTCAGGAAGGGAAGCCCTAAAGTCAAACAGGACTAGAGATATGGGTTTCCTTGAGTCAAGCAGTTTGGGACTGGGATGCCCTCCTTTGAAGCAAGTAGGGTTCCCAAAGTCATTAAGATCTAAAAAGAGGGGTTCGCCTATAGTCTGACAGTTCCAGAGACAGGATACACCAAAGTGACACAGTTCCTGAGATACTTTAGTCAAAGAGGTCTGAGGTTTCCCATGTGATTCCCCTACAGTCAAACAGGTCTGGAGATAGGAATTCCCCTATAGTCAAACAGGTCTGGAGAAAGGAATTCCCTATCGTCAAACTGGTCAGGAGAAAAGGTATTCCCCTATAGTCAAACAAATCTGGAGAAAGGAATTTCCTATAGTCAAACAGGTCTGAAGAAATGGAATTCCCCTATAGTCAAACTGGTCTGGAGAAAGGAATTCCCCTATAGTCAAACAGGTCAAGAGAAAGGAGTTCCCCTATAGTCAAACAGGTCTGAGAAAGGATACCTTGACCCCAGCAGATGTAGAGCTAGGGCTGCTCTTGCAGATCCAACTCCACAAAATCACAACAAAACACAGGTTTTCTACCATGTCTGTATTGTCTTCATATAAAACATACATGTACTTTATGTTGGAATTAAAATACACCAGCTTTGTAAAACATCTGCAGATTCATGTACAATAAATAAAACCAGTGTTATGCAGATCTCTTGCATGTATGAAAGCGCCAAGCTGCTAGATCGCGAGGGATATCCTTACATTCACTACATGTTTTCCAACATGTCAAATACATTTAGGTACGTTCACTTCCAAAAGTTGACATGAAAATGAACAACCACCTTCAGGAAATGAATGTTCGTATTACAAGTTTCAGAATAATGTTAACAATCCATGAATTTACACGTTGGGTAACAAATTGAATATATCACAAGGTCTATGTACAAGACATTTGGGGATGATTTTTGGCGTCATATGGGATGATTAACGGCAAAGTATCTTGAAGAAATATTCCACCTGAAATAAACAAGAGCCAGGTGAAAGTCTTATATACATGACTTGGTGCAAACAAGCAGTTTTCAAGTGACACCATATCAATCTGGACAGAACTGTACCGGTGTGATACATCTGGATTGAGTCAGCCACTCACAGTTGTACATACATGCTGACTGTCAGGACAGACTAGCCCCGAAAATTATAGTATCCTAACCATCAGGGATTATCAATCATGTCAGTGTTGGCAAGTATTGATATATTTCATATCAAAAAGAGGGCTATATTCTACTCAAAAATCATTCTTCATACTTTTCCCATTACACAGTTAAGTGTTTTCTTAACCACAAAGAGTAAAAGCTAACCAGCTTCGTAGCAGAGAGACGTCATGTCAACTGATGACGTCACAATGGTGATGCCATTTCATGCCAGTGATACTTCATCCTAGGAGATATCGCTAGTTTATTACTGATCATGTGTTTAATGCTGCAGCATATTATAACAGCTGCATGCCAGCAGCCTGTATACAATCAACTTGGGACTATACAATCTAGCGGTTAACATTATTATCAACAATCCATTCAAACAGCACATTCTAACATTCACACAACATCAACGAAGTCATTAAGTTTTCTTGTATTACAAGCATAGGTTGCTAGGGACCCATTCTAACCCAGAACCCTCATATATGATGTTAGAAATACTTCATGGTATGGACGGCCTGAGGGCAAACAGCACCTTCTATTCAATCCTAGAATGGCACTGAAGCCACTTACCCTCAAAGGAGGCCATCTTCAGGCAAGTCCGTACAGTGGACAGCGTTGCATACTTTGTCTGTCCCAAACAGAGCCCGCAGTGTCCGTGGTCGCAGGTGACGTGCAATCTCCTGAAACCATAACACACAGTTAAACATTCAGCTGGATTACATTATTACTCTTTTCATTATGTATATACAGAGAATGAATTTATCTAGGATTCCAAACAAAGCTCTCATGACAGATAAATTGAAAAAATGTATCTGCATTTAAGATAAGGATTTCTTTTGAAATTTCATGTTTCCTTATTTCAAAGAATGAATTAATCATTCAGCGCCAGCATGTAAAAGTAAACATTAAGGTCTCTTCTGTTTCATTGATCCTGTTATCAGAGCAAAGCATTAACCATTAACCCATGTGCAGAGGTGCCAGATTATACTGTATGAGTACACAGGCACTTATTAAGTTTTAACAGCGTTGATGTTGACTCTCATTTGAACAGCACTTCAGTTACACAGCATTGGTCAGCACCTCCATGTGGGAGAAAAGCGTGAAGATTTTGGCCCAGTTTCACACAGTGTTCATCAAAACACTCAGATGATCGTCACTCCTCCAAAAATTAACACTGACAGTTATGTCACTGTGATTCCTTAAGGAATGAGAGACCAAGGACCTAGACTTTTGTGGATGGTGTTGGTAAGAGCTCGGATACAGTCGTGCCCGGTTTATCCGAACCTCAGATATCCGGAAAACTCGCCTTCCGAACAAAAATTCCTCAAAACGAATTCACAATGTTATAAAATTACTCACTTATCCGAAATCTGGTTTCAGTAACCGGACGCCATTATCACATACAAAACGCTAAATTATATGCATATTTTTTTCTTGTATATCCGGATGGCTGAGCACGTGTCAGTAAAGTTTACACAATACCATTTTACAGAGTGGCTTTGCGTGCCCTAACATAAAAGAATTCGGCAGTCTTTGAAGCCTGAGAGGATTAACTACCTGTAATTAGCGAGCTATTAAGGTGACACTGAGTTAACTTTGAGTTGTGATTGGAAAGGCTAGAAGTCACCGTTGTTTTGGTAGTGACTTTAATCCGGAAGTTTATGTTAGATGTTGGGTGCAGGAACAATGCGAACGCGTGGATGACATCAGAACTGTTTTCGTGATTGGTTGCTAGCATTTGACAGACAGATGCATGTACAGCTTTGTTCGCACCTGTTATTGACTTGACTACTTTATTTGACAAGATGCGGGATTTTATGTATGGATTGTTATTTGTTGATGTCTTATCAATAAAGATTACGTGCCCTAAGGTCTATTATCTTTGTATGTCTTTTTACATGTATGGTCCGTGGTTCAGATATCCGGAAATTCGTTTATCCGGACAATTTCAGAGAAAAACATAAGTGTCTGGATAAACGGGGCACGACTGTATTATCAAGTTTATTCAGGGATGTCTGAAGCCATGATCAGAGTGATCCTGACACCAAAGGGACACAACTCTTCACAGCATATAGCTGCAACTTGGATGACTGCCCCTTGCCCAAGCGATCCTTACAGGTAACCCTCACTCATACATCCAGTTAACCCCTGACCTAACACCACACAGTTTGTTTGAGCAGACGGCATGGAATAAAGCCATTCTTCATCCATTTGGTCAATTATCTCATCCCCAGAAAGGTATTGAACTGTCATTGGAAAATCTGATCCTACTCACATTGTGACAGCTTTGAGAACATTCTCACTGGAATAAAAGGAGCAACTCACAGGATCTGCGGGTCCAGCCATCTCTCTCGGAACGTTTTAGGTGCATCCTGAGCACGAACTTCAAGTGCGATGCAGGGCCCCTGACGTTAGCTCGGCCACCATACCATTGTATTCCTGGACAACGCCTTTGTACACCTCATAGAACTCCTCCGCATTAGCCTTCTGCATGTGGAACATCTCGATGGCCGTGACTTCAAACCCCTGCATCGGTGATGCCACTGATCACCTTCCCAGCAATACCTGTATGCACAGATAGAGTGTATGAGTAAATCGCTCTGTCTTAGCATGGGATGCCAGGGACCTATTAGCTTCGTCGGCTGCATGGAACCATGAGCCTGATGGGGCGAGGGACAACAGTATGTGAGTCTAACGCTGTGTCCAGGCAGATCATACCACAAGTCTGGGATGCCAGGGACCTATTGACTGCGTCGGCCGCAGATGGAACCATGAGCCTGATGAGGCGGGGGACATTTGGCAGAATTTATAACAACTGAAACAAGTATAAACATCAAAGAAAAAACAGTCATGGTTGTCATATGTTCCGGTCAACCACAAAATAACGGTAACTACATGTCAAGAGTGAGTGAGTGAGTTTAGTTTTACGCCGCACTCCGCAACATTCCAGCTATATGGCGGTGGTCTGTAAATAAAAGAGTCTGGTCCAGACAATCCAGTGATCAACAGTATGAGCACCGATCTGCGCAATTGGGAACCGAGGACATGTGTCAACCAAGTCAGCGAGTCTGACCACCTGATCCCGTTAGTTGCCTCTTACGACAAGCATGGGTTACAGAAGATCAATATTCTAACCCGGACCTTCACTGTTAGGTGTCAAGAAGATAATATAGGTTAGCGAGTGTAGTTTTACGCCACTTTTAGCAATATTCCAGCAATATCCCAGCAGGGTACACCAGAAATGAACTTTACACATTGCACCCATGGGGAATCAAACCCGGGTCTTCAAAGTCACGAGCAAATGCTTTAACCACAAGGCTACCCCACTGCCTCTGAAAATCCTGGAAGCTACTGAGTGAATGGATTGATCTATGAAAGCTTGAGAGATATTGGGAGATAAAGTATGTGTCTGCACAGTTTGAGTTAATGTCATGTTTGTGGGTACCTGACTTGACTGCGTGGGGCTTGATGACACAGCAGGTACAGTCCTGGAAGACGGCGGTGTTGCGCCGACTGGGGCCTGATGATGGGAAGAAGAACTCCAGCTCTCGAGCAGACGATGATGGACTGTCAGAACCATGGCAGGCATTCATTGTCTTGTCTGAAACACACAGACACTCAACAACATGTAATGTGAGTGTTTTGCTAAATGATCAAACCAAGGTGTGTGGCTTGTTTCCAAGAGTCATTGTTTGTCCCAGCCATACTGAGCCCTGATGCTGATGTCTGTTCCCCTACCTGTGCCATACTGAGCCCTGATGCTGTTGTCTGTTCCCCTACCTGTGCCATACTGAGCCCTGATGCTGTTGTCTGTTCCCCTACCTGTGCCATACTGAGCCCTGATGCTGTTGTCTGTTCCCCTACCTGTGCCATACTGAGCCCTGATGCTGTTGTCTGTTCCCCTACCTGTACCATACTGAGCCCCTGATGCTGTTGTCTGTTCCCCTACCTGTGCCATACTGAGCCCTCTGATGCTGTTGTCTGTTCCCCTCACCTGTGCCATACTGAGCCCTGATGCTGTTGTCTGTTCCCCTACCTGTGCCATACTGAGCCCCTGATACTGTTATCTGTTCCCCACCTGTGCCATACTGAGCCCTGATACTGTTGTCTGTTCCCCTACCTGTGCCATACTGAGCCCTGATGCTGTTATCTGTTCCCTCACCTGTACCAAACTGAGCCCTGATACTGCTTGTCTGTTCCCCTACCTGTACCATACTGAGCCCCTGATACTGTTATCTGTTCCCTCACTCAGTGCCATACTGAGCCCTGATGCTGTTATCTGTTCCCTACCTGTACCATACTGAGCCCTGATACTGTTGTCTGTTCCCCTACCCTGTGCCATACTGAGCCCTGATACTGTTATCTGTTCCCTCTACCTGTACCAAACTGAGCCCTGATACTGTTGTCTGTTCCCCCACCTGTACCCAAACTGAGCCCTGATACTGTTGTCTGTTCCCCTATTACCTGATGCCCCCACCTGTGCCATACTGAGCCCCTGATACCGTTATCTGTTCCCCTACCTGTGCCATACTGAGCCCTGATACTGTTGTCTGTTCCCCTACCTGTGCCATACTGAGCCCTGATACTGTTATCTGTTCCCCTCACCTGTGTACCCCAAACTGAGCCCTGATACTGTTATCTGTTCCCCACCCTGTACCATACTGAGCCCTGATACTGTTGTCTGTTCCCCTACCTGTGCCATACTGAGCCCTGATACTGTTATCTGTTCCCCTACCTGTACCAAACTGAGCCCTGATACTGTTGTCTGTTCCCCTACCTGTGCCATACTGAGCCCTGATACTGTTGTCTGTTCCCCTTACCTGTGCCATACTGAGCCCTGATACTGTTATCTGTTCCCTACCTGTGCCATACTGAGCCCTGATACTGTTGTCTGTTCCCCATTGTCTGTCCTTACCTGTACCATACTGAGCCCTGATGCTGTTATCTGTTCCCTCACCTGTACCAAACTGAGCCCTGATACTGTTGTCTGTTCCCCTACCTGTGCCATACTGAGTCTGTCCCTACCTGTACCCATACTGAGCCCTGATGCTATTATCTGTTCCCCTCACCTGTACCAAACTGAGCCCTGATACCTGTTGAGCAGTGTCTGTCCCCTCACCTGTGCCATACTGAGCCCTGATACTGTTGTCTGTTCCCCACCTGTGCCATACTGAGCCCTGATACTGTTGTCTGTTCCCCTACCTGTGCCATATACTGAGCCCCTGATACTGTTGTCTGTTCCCTCTACCTGTACCAAACTGAGCCCTGATACTGTTGTTCGTTTCCCCTACCTGTACCATACTGAGCCCTGATACTGTTGTCTGTTCCCCTACCTGTGCCATACTGAGCCCTGATACTGTTGTCTGTTCCCCTACCTGTGCCATACTGAGCCCTGATACTGTTATCTGTTCCCCTACCTGTACCAAACTGAGCCCCCTGATACTGTTGTCTGTTCCCCTACCTGTGCCATACTGAGCCCTGATACTGTTGTCTGTTCCCTACCTGTGCCATACTGAGCCCTGATACTGTTGTCTGTTCCCTACCTGTACCAAACTGAGCCCTGATACTGTTGTCTGTTCCCTACCTGTGCCATACTGAGCCCTGATACTGTTGTCTGTTCCCTACCTGTGCCATACTGAGCCCTGATACTGTTATCTGTTCCCTACCTGTGCCATACTGAGCCCTGATACTGTTATCTGTTCCCCACCTGTACCATAGTACTGAGCCCTGATACTGTTCCCTGTTGAGCCCTGATACCTGTACCCTGTACCATACTGAGCCCTGATGCTGTTATCTGTTCCCTCACCTGTACCAAACTGAGCCCTGATACTGTTGTCTGTTCCCCTACCTGTGCCATACTGAGCCCTGATGCTGTTGTCTGTTCCCTCACCTGTACCAAACTGAGCCCTGATACTGTTGTCTGTTCCCCTACCTGTGCCATACTGAGCCCTGATACTGTTGTCTGTTCCCTCACCTGTACCAAACTGAGCCCTGATACTGTTGTCTGTTCCCCTACCTGTGCCATACTGAGCCCTGATGCTGTTGTCTGTTCCCCTACCTGTGCCATACTGAGCCCTGATGCTGTTGTCTGTTCCCCTACCTGTGCCATACTGAGCCCTGATGCTGTTGTCTGTTCCCCTACCTGTGCCATACTGAGCCCTGATGCTGTTATCTGTTCCCTCACCTGTACCAAACTGAGCCCTGATGCTGTTGTCTGTTCCCCTACCTGTGCCATACTGAGCCCTGATGCTGTTATCTGTTCCCTCACCTGTACCAAACTGAGCCCTGATACTGTTGTCTGTTCCCCACCTGTACCCTGTGCCATACTGAGCCCTGATACTGTTATCTGTTCCCCACCTGTACCAAACTGAGCCCTGATACTGTTGTTCGTTCCCCTACCTGTACCATACTGAGCCCTGATACTGTTATCTGTTCCCTTACCTGTGCCATACTGAGCCCTGATACTGTTATCTGTTCCCTCACCTGTACCAAACTGAGCCCTGATACTGTTGTCTGTTCCCCTACCTGTACCATACTGAGCCCTGATGCTGTTATCTGTTCCCCTCACCTGTACCAAACTGAGCCCTGATACTGTTGTCTGTTCCCTACCTGTGCCATACTGAGCCCTGATACTGTTATCTGTTCCCTCACCTGTACCAAACTGAGCCCCTGATACTGTTGTCTGTTCCCTACCTGTACCATACTGAGCCCTGATACTGTTATCTGTTCCCTCACCTGTACCAAACTGAGCCCTGATACTGTTGTCTGTTCCCCTACCTGTGCCATACTGAGCCCTGATACTGTTATCTGTTCCCTTACCTGTACCAAACTGAGCCCTGATACTGTTATCTGTTCCCTCACCTGTACCAAACTGAGCCCTGATACTGTTGTCTGTTCCCCTACCTGTGCCATACTGAGCCCTGATACTGTTATCTGTTCCCTCACCTGTACCAAACTGAGCCCTGATACTGTTGTCTGTTCCCCTACCTGTGCCATACTGAGCCCTGATGCTGTTATCTGTTCCCTCACCTGTACCAAACTGAGCCCTGATACTGTTGTCTGTTCCCCTACCTGTGCCATACTGAGCCCTGATACTGTTATCTGTTCCCTCACCTGTACCAAACTGAGCCCTGATACTGTTATCTGTTCCCCTACCTGTACCAAACTGAGCCCTGATACTGTTGTCTGTTCCCCTACCTGTACCAAACTGAGCCCTGATACTGTTGTCTGTTCCCCTACCTGTACCAAACTGAGCCCTGATACTGTTGTCTGTTCCCCTACCTGTGCCATACTGAGCCCTGATACTGTTGTCTGTTCCCCTACCTGTACCAAACTGAGCCCTGATACTGTTGTCTGTTCCCCTACCTGTGCCATACTGAGCCCTGATACTGTTATCTGTTCCCCACCTGTACCAAACTGAGCCCCTGATACTGTTGTCTGTTCCCCTACCTGTGCCATACTGAGCCCTGATACTGTTGTCTGTTCCCTACCTGTACCAAACTGAGCCCTGATACTGTTGTCTGTTCCCCTACCTGTGCCATACTGAGCCCCTGATACTGTTATCTGTTCCCCTCACCTGTACCAAACTGAGCCCTGATGCCTGATACTGTTGTCTGTTCCCCTACCTGTACCATACTGAGCCCTGATACTGTTATCTGTTCCCCTACCTGTGCCATACTGAGCCCTGATACTGTTATCTGTTCCCTCACCTGTACCAAACTGAGCCCTGATACTGTTGTCTGTTCCCCTACCTGTACCCGATACTGAGCCCTGATGCTGTTATCTGTTCCCTCACCTGTACCAAACTGAGCCCTGATACTGTTATCTGTTCCCCCACCTGTACCAAACTGAGCCCTGATACTGTTGTCTGTTCCCCTACCTGTACCATACTGAGCCCTGATGCTGTTATCTGTTCCCTCACCTGTACCAAACTGAGCCCTGATACTGTTGTCTGTTCCCCTACCTATGCCATACTGAGCCCTGATACTGTTACCTGTTCCCTCACCTGTACCAAACTGAGCCCTGATACTGTTATCTGTTCCCTCACCTGTACCAAACTGAGCCCTGATACTGTTGTCTGTTCCCCTACCTGTACCAAACTGAGCCCTGATACTGTTGTCTGTTCCCCTACCTGTACCAAACTGAGCCCTGATACTGTTGTCTGTTCCCCTACCTGTGCCATACTGAGCCCTGATACTGTTGTCTGTTCCCCTACCTGTACCAAACTGAGACCTGAAACTGTTGTCTGTTCCCCTACCTGTGCCATACTGAGCCCTGATACTGTTATCTGTTCCCCTACCTGTACCAAACTGAGCCCTGATACTGTTCTCTGTTCCCCTACCTGTGCCATACTGAGCCCTGATACTGTTGTCTGTTCCCCTACCTGTGCCAAACTGAGCCCTGATACTGTTGTCTGTTCCCCTACCTGTGCCATACTGAGCCCTGATACTGTTATCTGTTCCCTCACCTGTACCAAACTGAGCCCTGATACTGTTGTCTGTTCCCCTACCTGTACCATACTGAGCCCTGATACTGTTATCTGTTCCCTTACCTGTGCCATACTGAGCCCTGATACTGTTATCTGTTCCCTCACCTGTACCAAACTGAGCCCTGATACTGTTGTCTGTTCCCCTACCTGTACCATACTGAGCCCTGATGCTGTTATCTGTTCCCTCACCTGTACCAAACTGAGCCCTGATACTGTTGTCTGTTCCCCTACCTGTGCCATACTGAGCCCTGATACTGTTACCTGTTCCCTCACCTGTACCAAACTGAGCCCTGATACTGTTGTCTGTTCCCCTACCTGTGCCATACTGAGCCCTGATGCTGTTGTCTGTTCCCCTACCTGTGCCATACTGAGCCCTGATGCTGTTATCTGTTCCCTCACCTGTACCAAACTGAGCCCTGATACTGTTGTCTGTTCCCCTACCTGTACCATACTGAGCCCTGATACTGTTGTCTGTTCCCCTACCTGTGCCATACTGAGCCCTGATACTGTTATCTGTTCCCCTACCTGTGCCATACTGAGCCCTGATACTGTTGTCTGTTCCCCCACCTGTACCAAACTGAGCCCTGATACTGCTGTCTGTTCCCCACCTGTGCCATACTGAGCCCTGATGCTGTTGTCTGTTCCCCACCCTGTGCCATACTGAGCCCTGATGATGCTGTTGTCTGTTCCCCTACCTGTGCCATACTGAGCCCTGATACTGCCATCTGTTCCCCACCTGTGCCATACTGAGCCCTGATACTGTTTATCTGTTCCCCTACCTGTACCATACTGAGCCCTGATACTGTTGTCTGTTCCCCTACCTGTGCCATACTGAGCCCTGATACTGTTATCTGTTCCCTCACCTGTACCAAACTGAGCCCTGATACCGTTGTCTGTTCCCTACCTGTGCCATACTGAGCCCTGATGCTGTTATCTGTTCCCTCACCTGTACCAAACTGAGCCCCTGATACTGTTGTCTGTTCCCCTACCTGTGCCATACTGAGCCCTGATACTGCTATCTGTTCCCTCACCTGTACCCAAACTGAGCCCTGATACTGTTGTCTGTTCCCTACCTGTACCATACTGAGCCCTGATACCGCTATCTGTTCCCCTTACCTGTCTCTCCTCCAGCCAAACTGAGCCCTGATACTGTTATCTGTTCCCTCTACCTGTACCAAACTGAGCCCTGATACTGTTGTCTGTTCCCCTACCTGTACCATAACTGAGCCCTGATACCGTTATCTGTTCCCCTCACCTGTACCAAACTGAGCCCTGATACTGTTGTCTGTTCCCCTACCCAGCCATACTGAGCCCTGATACTGTTATCTGTTCCCTTCACCTGTACCAAACTGAGCCCTGATACTGTTATCTGTTCCTCACCTGTACCAAACTGAGCCCTGATACTGTTATCTGTTCCCCTACCTGTGCCATACTGAGCCCTGATACTGTTGTCTCGTTCCCCACCTGTGCCATACTGAGCCCTGATACTGTTGTCTGTTCCCCTACCTGTACCAAACTGAGCCCTGATACTGTTGTCTGTTCCCTACCTGTACCATACTGAGCCCTGATACTGTTGTCTGTTCCCCTACCTGTGCCATACTGAGCCCTGATACCGTTGTCTGTTCCCCTACCTGTACCAAACTGAGCCCTGATACTGTTGTCTGTTCCCCACCTGTGCCATACTGAGCCCTGATACTGTTATCTGTTCCCCTACCTGTACCAAACTGAGCCCTGATACTGTTGTCTGTTCCCCCTACCTGTGCCATACTGAGCCCTGATACTGTTGTCTGTTCCCTACCTGTACCAAACTGAGCCCTGATACTGTTGTCTGTTCCCCTACCTGTGCCAAACTGAGCCCTGATACTGTTGTCTGTTCCCCTACCTGTGCCAAACTGAGCCCTGATACTGTTGTCTGTTCCCCTACCTGTGCCATACTGAGCCCTGATACTGTTATCTCGTTCCCCTACCTGTGCCATACTGAGCCCTGATACTGTTGTCTGTTCCCCTACCTGTGCCATACTGAGCCCTGATACTGTTATCTGTTCCCCTACCTGTACCATACTGAGCCCTGATACTGTTGTCTGTTCCCCTACCTGTGCCATACTGAGCCCTGATACTGTTATCTGTTCCCCTACCTGTACCCAAACTGAGCCCCTGATACTGTTGTCTGTTCCCTACCTGTACCCATACTGAGCCCTGATACTGTTATCTGTTCCCCTCACCTGTACCAAACTGAGCCCTGATACTGTTGTCTGTTCCCCTACCTGTGCCATACTGAGCCCTGATACTGTTATCTGTTCCCTCACCTGTACCAAACTGGAGCCCTGATACTGTTATCTGTTCCCCTACCTGTAACCATACTGAGCCCTGATACTGTTGTCTGTTCCCCTACCTGTGCCCATACTGGAGCCCTGATACTGTTATTCGTTCCCTCACCTGTACCAAACTGAGCCCCTGATACTG